AACCAAAGCAAAGGATTCATTTAATTTTTGGGCCATACCTATATTATCTTTAACCTCCATCACATCCTCTTGGAGTAATTTGTCCTGAGTTGGCACTCTCAGTTGGGTTCCGCCAGAACCGCATTGTCACAGTGGCGGAGTCGGCCGGGTCGACAGAACCAGGTCAATTAAGCTTTGGGTCAGAACCCCGCGCTGTCCAAATTTGAATTTTGGTTAAAGAGCTGCTGCAATGGGTGAGCAAAGAGCGTATGAGGGACTTGGCAAAAAAGCCCTGGAAAATTTGTGTTCAGAAAAGAGGATAAGCTTTAGAAAGAAAGCTACAAATCAAGAACTGAGAAATCTGTTAATAGCCAGTGATCAGGGGGCAAGAGCACAGCCCTTACCTGAGGCTGCAGAAGATGCAGAAAAAATTAGGATGCAAAGGGTGACAAGTAAACTGCAATTTGAGCATGAACAGAAGCTAGCAGATCTTCGATTGTTGGAGAAGCAAAAAATAGCAGAATTAGAGAAGGAGGAAAGAGAAAACTGAATTTGGCAAAGGGAAGCCACAGGTTAACCCTAAAATGCCCAAACTCCAATGGTATTGAGCCAAAGGTGTGGCATGACAAACATGATTGTAGATGGACACTTGCAATGAACTTGTTGTTATTGCTAAATTTTGTAATGAATGTGTTGCTATTGCCACAAACCGTAAAAATGTACAATGTGTCTAATCTTTTGGAGAATCCCTTGAACATGTTAAAAGGAATACATGAAAACACACGTTATGTTAAAAGGCCTTGTTACACTGGGGTTCACAGGTAATGCCTATAAACAATATGGGAACTTTTCACAGGGGAAAAGACATTCCAGACCTAATGTGCTGTATGAAAAGGAAGACTGAGGCACACGACCATATTGCTTTCATGGCTAAATGCCAAGATTCCTGTACTATGAAGAACATTAATATCTGCATTTATTCGATGTTAATGGGGTTCCAAACATTTGCCCGAGCTTGTATGGATAAAGTAGCTGTTTTCTTTAGCTCTTGGCAAGATCACATGAGACATACAGGAACCATGCTGCCAGAGCAGATCCAATCCACTATTGTTCTAACTAAGTTTTACCTTGAGTTTGTAAAGAGGTTCAATCATGTGGTTGAACATGATTTTGATAAACCATTTCTGTTATACACTGGTATGGCTTCTAACCCAATACTAGCCGTAGTGAGACAGAACCCAGGATGGGGAGCTCTTGGGATGCAGTCAGTGATGTTTGTGTCATCCCTTCCTGCATCAATTTTGCGTTGGGGGTGTGACGTTATTGACATAAACTGGGACCGTATAGATCATTGTTGCAACCGAGGTCCTATAATGGCACCCAAATCTTGTGTAAAGGGGGTCAAATGGGGTGTCTAGGACAAGGTTATGGTTTACTGGTTATGATTATGCTGTCTAGATGTGTGTATCAGTTTTGTAGTTGAAGTTATGAATATTGGCTCTATACTGTCTGTATGGCAAACTTATGCTATGCTGCTGGGTGACATCCCAGAGAAGCTGAGATTAGCTCTGCCTAGCCTGCTTGATGGCCCATTAAGGACCATCAGCTGTACAATGGACCCATTGAGAGAAGGCAGATAAGCCTTGTAACTCAGCAAAGTATGCAGGGACTGGCCCATGTGACTCCAGACTCCATTTTGCTGTAATTTTCCACAGTAAGAACAAAGAGGTGTCCTTACACCTGGAAAAGACTATATAAGGCTGATGCCTCATCTCCATCGGGTCTTCAATCCTGCTTCTTACCTCTGGAGGAACTTTGCTACAAACTGAAGCTCTGAACAAAGGACTGAGGACCCATCCCAGCGGGGGATGTATTCCAGAGACTTGATTTGAACCTGCAGTTTATTCTATCGCTGCTGCAAGCCTGAACCAAGAACTTTGCCATTACTGTATGTAATTAATCCATTTAACCAATTCTAACTCTCATCTCTATCTTTTTCCTTTTATGAATAAACCTTTAGATTTTAGATTCTAAAAGATTGGCAACAGCGTGATTTGTGGGTAAGATCTGACTTGTATATTGACCTGGGTCTGGGGTTTGGTCCTTTGGGATCGGGAGAACCTTTTTTCTTTTACTGGGGTATTGGTTTTCATAACCATTTGTCCCCATAACGTGTGGCACTGGTGGTAATACTGGGAAACTGGAGTGTCTAAGGAGATTGCTTGTGAGACTTGCGGTTAGCCAGTGGGGTGAGACCGAAGTCCTCCTAGTCTGGCTGGTTTGGTTTGCCTTAGAGGTGGAAAAACCCCAGCCTTGGGCTGTAACTGCCCTGTTTTAGCAATTTGTCCTGAGTTGGCACTCTCAGTTGGGTTCCGCCAGAACCGCATTGTCACAGACGGTCTGCATTGGGAGATGGGAGACTGGTCTTGAGGGAGGATACCTGAGCATGTAATGTGAGAACCCAGGAGGAGGGTGAGGCCAGGTGACATCTCTGCCCAGGAAACTGGACAAAGGCTGGGGAAGGAGACGCTGGGAGAGGGTGAGTTTCAGGAGCTGGCTGGTGGAATGGAGGGGAGCCCAAACTGGGGGGGGGTCCTGTTGTCTGTGCCTGCAAGACCTGTCTTGGACTGTATTCCTGTCGTCTAAATAAACCTTCTGCTTTACTGGCTGGCTGAAAGTCATGGTGAATCGCAGGAAGTCGGGGGTACAGGGCCCTGAGTCCCCCATACTCTGTGACACACAACAACAGCGTAGGGCTGGCCGGGGGGGAAGGGGGGTGCACGTGCCATTCCCCACACTGCGCCCCCCAGCAATCCCATCTCAGGGGGGATCCGCCCCACGGCCCATCTAGCCTGGTATCCCACCCCTGCCTGCCTCTTCCCAGCGCCCCGGCTGCCCCACACACGGGAATCCCACCCCTGGGCAGGCAGAGGCCGGTGGCAGGACTGTTCCTAAGTGGGTGCATGGCCCAAACACCCCCTCATGTCCCAAGCCCCACCCCACCCCTTCCTGCCCCCTCCCTGCCCCCATTCTGCCCTGCCCCCTTGCCCAGGCTGTGCCCATCCGCAGGGCCGTCCCTAGGCTGGTGCGGGGCCCGAACACCCCCCCTGCCCCAAGCCCCACCCCACCTCTTCCTGCCCCCTCCCTGCCCCCATTCTGTCCTGCCCCCTCCTCTCCCAGTTAATGCCGGGAGCCCGTCAAAATCGGGCAGAGCAGAGCTGCCACCAGCCCCTGCGTCACCCAGGCCCCACATCCCCCTGAAGCGAGGGGGCCCCCCAAAGCACAGGGCCAGGGTCGACCACAGCAGGTCTGCCCATCCATCCCCCGCAGCGCCAAGCACCCGCGGCCCCCCTGGTACCTTCAGTTTCTGATCCATCATCTTGCCCTGCTCCTCCAGCAGCTTCTTCCTCTCGTCCTCCAGCTTCGTCTCCAGCTGCCGCAGGTTCTCCTGGTAGCTGCGGTCCTGGTCCTCCCGCTTCTGCTGTAACTCAGCCTCCTTCTGCTTCAGGACCTGCTGCTCCCGCTTGGCCGCCTCGGCCCGGGCTCGCTCGGCTGGCACGGGGAGAGAGAGGTGGGTCAGCATGGGGAGGGCCATGGTGACTCTGCCCACCAGGGCTGCAGCCCAGGTACCTTCTCCCCCGCCCCAGCGGCGTGATGTCCCCCCAGTGATACCTGCCATCTCCTTCTCCTTCTCCATCAGGGCCTTGTCCGTCTGCAGGATGGACTGGGCCACAGCCGCCTTGGACTGGAGGAACTCCTGCAGCGCCGCGTCGGCCTGGGGATGGAGAGTGGGAGCCACCGGGTCAGGGGGGTTTGTCGCACGGAGCCGGATCCAGGTCAGGATTCTGGATCATGGCACCGGAGAGTAACGGGACTGGCTGGCTTGGAGGGGGGTGGGTGCTGGGACGCAGGGCCTTTCCCCTCTAGGGGGTGCCAGTTCCCATCCAGCCCCAGAGTCAGCATTTGGTTTCCACTCGACACCCTCGGCGCCTGTTCCGGATGAGCTGGGGGCTGAACCCGGTTTTTAACAGGACAAACGGCCTCATCACGCAGGCACTAACCGGCCCCCCCCCCAGCAGCCCCAGCAGAGCGGCCGAGGGCTGGAGGGGCCATGGGAACCAGACACCCCGGCACATTGGCAGTCAGGAGGGCTGTGAGGGTGGGGTCGGCTCACACCCTGATGCTGTCCCTGCTCTGGGGAGGATCCAGGAACTGCCCAGGTGAGGGAAGCTGGTGCCTGGTTCTCAGCAGGGATTCCCGGGCTGCACAATGAGGGGGCACAAAGACACACAGAGCCGGGCACCAGCCCTCTCCTACCTTTACCCCCTTCCCCGGCACCTGCCGGTATCTGTCCACCATGCGCTGCCGGTCGTCCAGGAAGTGCTGGTAGCCCCCGGGCACTGAGTAGACCCCCTCGCCGATCCGGTCATCCAGCTCCTGCGACAGCTCCAGCAGGGCGGCCTTGCAGCGCTCCGAGGACGCCACTTCATTGCGCCGGCAGAGCTCCTGCTTCTGCTCCTCCAGGCGGCGCTGCCAGGTTGGGCACAGAAAGGGGAGGCCTGAGCCAGGGTGGGGGGGGGTGCAGATGGGGCAGGGGTACGAGCCATGACAGGGCCTGAATGGGGCAGGTGTGTGAGCCGTTCCACATGCGCCTGGGGCTGGAGATTGGGCCGGGTCCCCTTGGCCTGGCATCTTGGGTCCCCAGCTAAGGAAGGCCAAGTGTGACACTGCCCCCCCATATTCTTCAGTGATATGATGGTGATACGAGTCTGGCATCGTTTTGGTGTATTTTATGCGATGAGACCACATGACTCCAGCCTCCATCTTGGGGTGTCAGTATTTTCCCACAACCCGGTCTGGGAACCAGGCTTTGGAACAAAGGGCACCCGCCAGATGCTAAAGCTGTATGAAGTGGGGAATGACGTCACCTGGGGTTCTTCGCTCCCCACCCAAAGAGACCCCTGGAAACCCCCGAGGAACAAAGACTGACTGGGGGGAAGTGCTGGCCCCAGGCTGAAGGGATTTCTAGTCTGTGTATGGACCACCCGGGGGTTCCAAGCTGTCAGCGAGGGCAGCTTGTCCCTTAAGGATCTGCAGCTGGCGTGGATCATCCATCAGGGTGAGAATCTCTTAGTTCATATCCTGTCTTTCTAGTATCTTAAACTTAGTTTGCATTTTTTGTTTATTTGCTGGGTAATCTCCTTTGCTCGCTATCCCTTATAATCATTTAAAATCGATCTTTTCTAGTTAATAAACTTGATTTTGCTTTATCTAAACGAGGGCGTTGGAGTGAAGTGTGCGGGAATCGTAACTCAGGGGCAAAGGCTGTTGCATATTCCTCTCCACATTGAGGGAGGGGGCGAATTTTATGAGCTTGCACTGTACAGTGCAAGACGGTGTAATTTCGGGTTTAGGCTCCAGAGGAGGGGTGTGCCTGAGGAGCTGGGAGTAGCCTGCCCACACAGGGGCTGGTCAGAGAGCCTGCGTGTAACTGCAGCTGGCAGGGCCGGCTCTAGGCACCAGCCCCCAAGGAAGCAGGTGCCTGGGGCGGCAAATCTGGAGGGGCGGCACTGCGTCCGGTCTGGGGCAGCACTCTGACTTCGGCAGCAGCTTTTTCATTTTTTCTTCTTCGGCAGCAGTGCTGCGGCCGCTTTTTTGTTTGCTTCGCCGCTTGGGGCGGCAAGAAAGGTAGAGCCGGCGCTGGCAGCTGGGTGTGTCCTGACCTGTGTGATGCTGGTGGAAGTGCAGCTGGAGGACTTTGTAGCTTGTCACAGCAGTACGGTGTGAGAGGGAGCCCAGGCTGGTGGGTCAGGGGGCTCTGTGGTACCCCAGTTCCAGGTGGCTCCCCGGGGGGAACCCGTCACACTGGGGCTGGGAGATTCCCCATAGAAGGGGGTCAGGGTGCAAGGGAGCCCCATCCCCCCATCCCGCAGAGGGCCAGCTATCCCATAACCCCCGGGGCCGGCGCGAGGGGCCATACCATGAGCTCCTCTTGGAAGCGGCGGTCGTCATCCTTGAAGGCGCGCGCCATGAACGCCCGCAGCGCCTCCCGCTCGCACTGGGCGTGCAGGTCCAGCAGCTCCTGCACGCTCTCCGTGGGCAGCGCCGCCCGCCGCCCCAGCTGCTCCTCGTAGACAGCCACGGCCTCCCCCACCGCCGCCAAGTTCTCCATCTGCGCCAGGGCCAGCACCGCGCTCTCCATGCAGGGCACCGCCCCGCTGCGGATGGCGTCCACGTAGGTCACCGCCAGGTTCCCCAGCACTGCCGGAGGGGCAGGGTCAGCGCCAGGGGGCCCAGCACTGCCGGAGGGGCAGGGTCAGCACCAGGGGGCCCAGCGCGGCCGGAGGGGGACAGGGTCAGCGCCAGGTTCCCCAGCATGGCCGGAGGGGCAGGGTCAGCGCCAGGTTCCCCAGCGTGGCTGGAGGGGTGGGGGCAGCGCCAGGGGGCCTAGCGCGGCTGGAGGGGCAGGGGCAGCGCCAGGGGGCCCAGCGCGACCGGAGAGGGACATGCTCATCATCAGGGTGCCCAGTGTGGCCAAAGGGGGGCAGGGTCAGCATCCCCCACCCAGCCCCTCCCACACACTCCAAGACCCCGGCTGCTCCCCTGGACCTGCCCCTCCCCCATGTGCCCCAGGCCACAGATCCCAGCCAGAAATGCCCCCCGTCCCCCTGAGCAATTGGTGCCTTGTCTCTCGTTGGTATGTCCCTGGCTTCACCCCCCAGCCGCAGGACCCTGCTCTGCCCTTTGGGACCCAGGCCTCCCTCCCTGGGGAAACGCACCTGCCCTGCCAGCCTGGCCTCTCCCCATCATCTTCCCTGGGACCCGCTAACCAGACCTGCTCTGTCTGGCTCTCACGCCCTGTTCTCCCCCCACGGGTCATTTCCAGTCCTCTGCTCCACCCCTCGATGATTTTCCAGCGCCCCGTCTAACCGCGCACCCCAGAGCTGGGCACAGGCTCCTGCGTCACTCCCACCAGTGGCGGCCACAGGGGACCCCCTGTCAGCTCGGTTTGTCCCGCCCAGCACCCCATGAGCCCCGTTGGCCCCAGTGTCCCCCGGCCCAAGGGCTACCAACACTCACTGGCCCCGGTCACCACGTGGCCACCCGGGATGGTCTTGGGCTTCGACGTCTCCCAGACGTGGCGGCAGAACTGGGCCACCTGCTCCTGGAACTCGGGCTCCAGCTCGTCCTTCCGCAGCTTCTCCAGCCGGGGCAGGTGCTGCCAACCGGCCGGCGGGACGAAGACGAAGCATTTCCGGGCCGGGAAGAACTGGCGGATGCACTTTCGGGGCAAGTTGTAGCACTGGTCTTCCTCGCTGCTGCCTGGCAAGAGTGGGGAGCCGGGCAGAGCCCTTAGCCAAGATGTGGCTGCTTCTGGGGGGCAGCGCGCGACTGATGAACAGATTCCCATGGGAGGAAGAGACCCTGCTATCCAGGGGAGGGGGATTGAGGGGAGCCAGGAAACCGTCCCAGCTGGAACGTGGCCAGGACAGTGAAAGTCCCAATTCCTAGGAACTGGTAACACCCACGATGTGTCAACGGCTTGGGTTTGTGTCTTGAGCAAAAGTCACCCCCCAGCAGCACAGCCCTGGGGCCAGCCCTGACAGCCAGGGGAGAGCCCCCACCCCACCCCCTGCAGTAGAGCGCCCCTTAACGCTGCCCTGGAGCACTGGGGCCAGCACCGCTCCCCTACCTCGCTTTAGTTTCAGGGCGTTCTCCAGGTACTCGTCCTCGGTGATCTCCCGCCCGTCCAGCACCAGCTGCAGCACGAAATCCCGCACGGCCCACACGAAGGCCGGGAAGAACCGCACGAACTCGGCCGAATCCTCCTCCTCCTGCCGGCAGCCCTCACCCGCCGGCTTCACCTTCTTGCCCCCTCGGCCGCCCTGAGCCACCAGCTTCGCCTTCTTGCCCCCTCGGCCGCCCTGAGCCACCAGCTTCGCCTTCTTGCCCCCTCGGCCACCCTCACCCACCGGCTTCACCTTCTTGTCCTCTCGGCTGCCCTCAGCCACCGGCTTCACCTTGATGCGCTCCGTCAGCTCCGTCACGTAGCTGGGGGCCAGCTAAGGAGGAGGAGATGTGGCGCCCCCTGCAGTGGGGTCCCGCTCCCTCAGGGGCCCCGCTACCCACCTGCGATGGGAGCTCGTAAGGGACTGCGGGTAGGGGAGGATATTTCATCACAACACCCGGAAGAAGAGATCAAACCAATGACCTGCAGGAGCAGCCACCTGGAGCCCTGCAGTGAAGGAGTGTGACGAACTGGGACTGTTCTTAATGTGGTGTTTGAATGCTGAGTGGGGAGTGTTGGTCTGGGAAGGCAGGGGAGTTTGGCTGGGACGCTCTGCATTGGGAGATGGGAGATTGGCCTTGAGGGAGGATACCTGAGCATGTAACGTGAGAACCCAGGAGGGGGCTGGGGCCAGGTGACACCTCTGCCCAGGGAAACTGGACAAAGGCTGGGGGAGGAGCCGGGGGGGAGGCTGGGTGAGAGACGCTGGAGAGAGTAGGAGTTTTGGAGCTGGCTGGTAAAATGGAGGGGGGCCCAGACGGGGCTCTGCCTCCCCACCCCCCGGGGCTGTGGTGTCCCTGGGGCCCCTAGATGGACCAAACTAAGGGGGTCCTATTGACTGTACCTGCAAGCCCTGTCTTGGACTGTGTTCCTGTCGTCTAAATAAACCTTCTGTTTTACTGGCTGGCTGAGAGTCCTGGTGAATCGCAGGAAGCCGGGGGGGCAGGGCCTTGTGTCCCCCCACACTCCGTGACAAGGAGTGACTCTGACAGCTGGTGGCAGAAGTGGGTTGTTCCTCCCCACATGGGGCAGCCACTAGAGGGGGCCGTGGTGCACACCCTGCGCTGCGGGTCACGATTTCGCTGGGGGAGGAGCGTTTGGATGGAACAGCGGGTCCCTTCCCCGGGGAGATGGGCCCCCCCGGCCCCCGGGCAAGAATACTGCAGCTGCTCCATGGCCTGCTGGTTGATGGTGCCCAGGCTGTTATAGACCAGGGTGCTGCTGAGAAGCACGGCCAGCGCAAAGATCCACGTGTCGTTCTTCGCGTCGCCCTGGAACGACACCCACCGTCACCGTCCTGAGTGCGTCCCAGCCGCAGAACTCAGAGCCCGTCACAGAGCACGGTGGGATCGCCAACCCCACGGCACAGATGGGGAAACTGAGGCATGGGATGGGGTGGCTAGTGGAACGGCCCCCAGCTCTCCGGAGTCCCAGCCCAGGCCACAATGAATTCCCATTCTCCAACCCAGCAGAGTCACTATTTGGGGTTGGCATATTCCCCTCCCCCAACATGTTAAATCCCCAGCTCCCGGAGGCACGGGAGGGGGCGGGAGCTCCCATTGCTCTCCTCTTACTGATGTAAGTTCCTAAGCCACATGGCTGCATTTAAACTTTGGGAAGGCAACACCTCCCCATCCCCCGGGGTCCAGTTGCAGCGGCCCCCACTGCAGGCCGGGGGGGTTACAGCTGCTCTCCTGCATTTTTCAGGTTCCATCCTCTATTATCCCCAATGCCGGCTCTTCCCTCTGCCTACGGCAGGGCAAAGCCAACATAAGGCCAAGGCTGCGGGATCCTTCTCAAAGGATCCATTTTATCGGCCGTCTCTGAGGCCCTCTCCAGAGCGAATGTATTTATCGTCACACACCCTCTGGCAGGCGGGGTGGGGAAACTGAGTCCCAGCTCACACCGGGGGTCTGTGGAGCAGGGATTTGAACCCGACTCTCTGGAATGCCAGCCCTGCCCCCATCGCTACAGCGAGTAGGGAAATTGTCACTGGAGAACATCCAATTTTTGATACCAAAACCATTGACGAAATGGGGACAGTTAAGGTGAATTTCCCGACTTGAAAAATTATTGGGAAAAAAAGTTTCTGTGGAATTGTGGAAATGGCCCGACTGGGTTTTTCAAGCCCTGGCACTTTCCCCCCATTTTGACTTTTCATCACAATTCAGGACAGGAAACATTTTAAAGATCTCAACAGCTCTTCCTGGGCGGGAAAAGCGTTTCCAGCCACACCCTGGCCTCCCATCCCAGTCCCACCGCGGCACCCCTAACCCTCCGGACATTGGCAATGCCCCCCTGAGAGGGCGCTGGGTCCGCCTCGGACAGCGCCTCCTTCTCCTTCATGGGGTTTGCTAGGAGTGTCTGTTAGTAGAGGGACCGGGAACTCCTTAAATACCACATCCCCTTTCCCAGCATGCCTTGCCCTGAACTACAAGTCCCAGCAGCCCCTGCGTGCCAAGGGGCGTTCCATCCCGCTCAGCAAATTGGCTGATTCTCATACACTGCCCCCTGCCGGCCCCCCCCTCACCTTCTCCACGTCGCCCAGCCCCTCGGTGTCCAGCAGCACCAGGGTGTGGCCGGCCCGGCTGGGGTGGGGCAGGCACCACATCCAGATGCCCTTGGTGTGCGACTGGATGGTGGAGCCCAGCGAGAACCCTGGGGAGAGATAGGCGGAGCTGGGACAGAAGCACAGCGAGGGAACCCAGGAGTCCTGGCTCCCCCCCACTCCACCCTCCACTAACCACTAGGCCCCACTCCCCTCCCAGCGCCAGGGAGAGAACCCAGGAGTCCTGGCTCCCCCCCACTCCACCCTCCACTAACCACTAGGCCCCACTCCCCTCCCAGCGCCAGGGAGAGAACCCAGGAGTCCTGGCTCCCAGACCCCTTGCTCTAACCACTA